AGGCTTACGGTAGCAGACCGAATGCTCTGCCGCGAATCTACCACCACCTCGGCTGTTCATGGCTCCGGCTACCATTTCCACCCGCTGTTGAATCATGTGTCACAGAACCAGACGAAGGGAGGCACATACTGGTAGTTCAATGAGCCATCTGTACGTCAATCTGCTGCCTGACTATCAACAGACATTTGCATGCATTACTTCCATCACGGTAGTCTACATATGGATGGCAAGGCGGGCTTGGCTGCCATTCTTGGGTCTTTCACCGAGACTCTCAGCTACATGTAGATACAGGGTAACATGACAATCCGTCCCCTGGTCCACTGATTGTTTGGGTGCGTTGTGACAAGGCACCGGGGCCACAACGCGACAGGGCCACAAGACGTCATTAGCGCCCCACGACAGGTCTGCCTCCCTGCTGAATTACCCGAGATTGTCGGTGGTGGTCACAGAGGTCCCACACCCATCCGCCGAGATGCTCAGTGCGGTACCCGGTGCCCACCAGGCAACGCGATCGGCAACAACGTGGTCGCCTCGAATAGCATCCGCAACGTCATTTCACACGTTTGAACGAAACCCGAAGCTCTTGTTCCCAACGGGATCGAGCTGCATGCCACTACCACGAATGCCCTCTTCGCCTTCCTGACTGGGTATACCTACCCACGTCTCTGATGGACATACGCCTACATCACTTTTTTGTCAGGTTCAAATAGATTCCCGATTCGTCATGGACTAGAGAGGATCTTCGCCCCATCCGCCCTGCAAAACTCAGGCCTGGGCTTGCCTGGCCCAAGCCAGGGTGATACCGCCCATCGTACTGCAGATGGTAGGTGGCGACGAGGGCGACAAAAAGCCAGGAGAAGCATCCACCGCTTCGAAAGTCATGCTGGATTTCCACTGAGCACTGCTGCCCCATCAAAGAGGTTGGCTCTCCCAAAAAGGCAATTTCTAGGCGACGGCTCTTCCTCTACGGTTGACCCGGTCGATGCACGTTCGAACCGTAGGACATGGAAATATGCAGGGTCTTTCTTACAAAGCCTGCAGTACAAACTTGCCAAGTCGTCAGTTGGCAATTTCCGCTTCCCACGTCGCTTCGTTCTAGTCCAGCGGCGACCTCAGCGGCATCGGTCAAGGCCTTGGAGGATGTCCCTGACGTCGAGCCTAGAATAGAAGCCTGGTCGATCCCCCCCTCTCACTTCTGTGCCGTGGAAATGTCACTGCGGCTTCCAATTTGCACCAGCAGATTTGCGGTATATCTCGACAGACTGGGCAAGAAGTGGCAAAGATGCGGATGCGGGCCCCCAAACCTTGGGCCAATGCTTCTGTTTGGTTTATCCTCTTTCAACCCGTCGTCCCGGCGAAGACCAGTGGTCAGGGCAAGAGAACAGGGGATGGTGTGATGGTAGGACGGATGAGGGTTTAGACCCCGTCAAACAGCAACCTTATCCCCGCAAAGTTGCTATTTATTCTTCGTCGTCGATCCTGGGCCCCGGCCCCCCAAGCGTTCGTCCAGTGTTCATCCGCATCTCGACTCAGGCGGCGCAGAGGACAATGCAATTCGGAAATGATGTGCTCTTTGGGATCCTGGCATTCAAGGTTGATCACCCTGACCTGGCGAACCACATTGACACGCCATCCATTGAGCTGGGAAGAGGAAGCGAGCTGCCCAAGGCGAGAGAAGGTTGCAAGAACAGCACCTGCTTTGCGACTCGGCGATATTTGCACTCGGTGCGCACGCAGTGAGATCATCAAACCAACCACCCCACCCGCGTAACAGTGGACAAGAATGGCCCCCGATTATCAACTTGCATGCCGGCTTCAGCCTTACACTCTCACGTCAGCCTGTGAGGCGACTGCTATCGCGTTCTCCTGTGCGCACGAGGTGGTCGCTCGGCCCCCGAATCCTGCCTCTTCAATCACGTTCTTGGTGTGACTGGAAGAAGATCAAAGCACGACGGCGTGGCTAAAGCTCCATGTCAAAATCGGCCGATCACCTGCAAATCGTTGACCCGCCAGCCCCTGGATTTGATCGCAATTTCCCTTCTGCACCTCGCCTGCCAGATGTTTCAGCCCACAGCGAAGGGCCGGTAAGCTTTGGCCGCCCTTGCGTTGGCACTACTCCTCAGCTCTCGTTGTTTCTTTGAATAGAAACAGGAGCCAGAACCTAGCAGCCTTAACAAGGACCCAAGGAGCGCATGCGCACGGCGCCGGCCTCGTGGGCGACGGCCTGATGGGCCCCTGAATCGGCCTCCATCCGACCACAGTGGAGACTCAACGGATGCCACCGCCGCGTCGCCTCATTGAGGTCTGGTAGACCTGAAGGAATGGCGCAAAACCATGCACCATTATGATACTACACTGAATGAAGACTGTAGATACTCCATGTCATGCTCGGTACCAGGGAGACCCTGGGTGGTGGAAACGCTCTGTGGGAAGACTGGCATCTCATCTCTCGGTCAGGCAAGGCCATCATCTATCGGCCAGACCCAGTAGCTAGCTACCTCTCTGTATCCAGCATCAGCTTGCATGTAGGGTGGGTGGCAATATCGATCTTTCCAGATTGAGTTATCAATCTCTCCTGACCATCGCCGTCGCCGACGAGCTTGTGGTCACCTTGCTCGCTTGCTATTTCTGGTAAAAAGGATTCGCAACAGACGAAGCTCGCAGGTAACAAGGAGCAATGACCTCCCATGAACAGTTTTTGATCATCAAAGTTTCTGCAAAGGGTCTGTATCTGTGTCCAGGGGCCTCTAGGAAATTGGGGGCATGCAAGATGCTCCTTCGTCGAGAAAAATAATCCATCCACCACTGCATGGGGCTTAAGTCTTTCAAAGATATGCGGAATGGCGTGTCAAACCCTGCCTACCATCGGCATTCAGCGAACGAGTTATCACCAGCTCAGAAGGTTTTGCATATTCGGATGATTCTGGGACATCGAGGAGGTATAGCAATGGCCTGTTGAGCTGTAACACGGTCGACCATGTGCTGAGTACAATTATCGAGCAGACCGATCTTCTCCACATGGTCAACGTGTCTGTTAAAATGGCCTCGCCGGAATAATCGCAGTTGTACCATGAATCTACCACGGACACCCCCTCAAGGGCCCTTTTCAACACCATGCAGCACTCTCACAAGAGCTGCCTGGCCTTCTTGTAGCAGGGGTCGTGATCCTTCCGGCCCATCCCTCGTGCCTCGCCTAGCCGGTCCCCAACCCCAACACCACAAAGTTCTGGCCGTTTTATCGCGTGATTTTAACCGTCCCAGGCGAACCGCATCAAGGCAGAGGAAGAAGACAGGCGAGAATCTACCAAGCAAGGCCCTTTATCGCGACTCATGCGCCCCCCTCCCTCTGTCGTTCTTCCGCGCGCTACCTCGACACCCCCCCTTCACTTCTCTCGACACCGTATGCGGCGGCATAGGATAGGCCAGAAGAGATGCCCACCCACCCACCAAGACCAAAGCAAAAGCCCTCCTCTGCCGACTGTCTCCTTTGAGCCAACCCGAATCGGCTTCGTTGGCTGTGCTCCCGGCACTGTTCGTTCGTCAGGAGACAGAAAAGAGTGATAGGGAGGGGGCGTGCCTCGAGGAGGAGGAGGAAGGGATCGCGTCTCTTCCTCCCGAAACCGTAGTACCTCCCCACCACTCGCGGACTGCATCTCTCTAGCGCGGAGTATCTTCGCGGAGCCAGCCAGCCAGCCAGCCAGTCCAGGTCTGAAGCCCCCCCCCCCCCCTTTCGTGGGTGCGCGCGCGCGGACGCAGACGCACACATACACACGCCCCCTATTCTTCCCATCCCGTCTCCTGCCCTGCCACACCCTGCCCTGCCCTCCACTTCCTCCCGTCCAGTCCTTTCGTCACTCTCCCCCTTTTCTTGGCGCGCGTTCGTTCGTTCGTTTGCTTTGCCGCTGCTCGATGGGGGCGTGTCCGTGGCGTCCCGGTCGAGAGCGGGGGCCGTGGGAGCCAGAGGGGGGGTGAAGTGGCGTGGCAGGGCGTGGGAAGGGGAAACGGCAGGGCTCGCTGGGGGCAGAAGAGGAAAAAAACGAAAGCCAAGTCTGTCCTGGTCGGGGCATGCCTCTGACTGTCGTCGTACGTCATTCGTCCCTGGTGAACGTCACTGCCAGCCCCCGACCAGAGATGATCTGCTTCTTTCTGTCGAGTAGACAAGGTGGTTGGTAGTGGTGGTGAGTCCCCAGCACCATGTGCCAAAACAGGTAGATAATGACGAGTGGAGATGGATGGTCTGGGCTGGGGCATCAGGGAAAAGGGGGGGGGGGCGAGATCCTGCTTTTCCTGGCAGGATACGTACTGGGAGACGTCTGTCATGTCCTGGATGGATTCCATTTGTGGAAACTGAGCATCGCTGCAGATGGGCGATGCTGTAAAGGAAACGAGGAAAAGCCATCAGACGACGCGGACCAGATACGAACAGGGGCAACTGGTAGACGGCGACGAACATCACAGGAAGAAGAGAACAGGATGAACCAAAAGATGAAAGAGCTAGGCTTATACCAAATGGAAAAAGAACAAGCGCCGAACGCTCTCGCGATGTTTCCATTTCCCTCCGCTTTGGCTACCTACCTAGAATGCCCAGCCCAAGTTTCCCATCCGTCCGCGCCTTCCCGTTACGCTTTTCAAATCTAACCGTGTCGCGACGACACGCAGGCAGGCGAGCAGCAGAACCAAAACCAAGGGGGAGAAAAAAAAATACAAAGCAAGCAGATCAGACAATGCTGTGGATGGTATCGTAGACGCAACAGATGCAGCAAAAGAAGAAGAAGATGAAAAAAAGGGAAGGCGAGCACAAGATCGTCGTACATCCCAGGCCCAGATTCAGGTTCAAGTACAGGGTCGTCGACGACCCGAATCTTTCCTCTGTCTGTCCATGCTGACCCGCAACCCTCAAGATTGTGGATCGTATTACATCCTCCACCATGCGTTTCCCGTTGGGAGGAAGGGCTCGTCTTCACCTGCGAGCCTTACCGCGACGAAGGCGAACCCCCAATCTATAGTCGTCCGTGGCGCGCTTTGAAGATGGCGACCTTGTCGTCGTAGAACAAAATTTCACGCAGGCGCAGGCGCGGCCTGGCCCCGACGTGGTCCGCCTCACGGAATGAGTCTGCATCAGAGTCGCTGGAGCCAAGCGACGCCTCGGACTGCGAGTCGTCAACATCGACCACGCTGGCTGCGTCGTTGGCGTTGCCTGCACCACCGCCGCCAGGCCCGTCCTCGTTCTCGTCCTCTGATGTGTCGACCTGGCTCGCATCCTCGTCATCGTCGCTCGCGTCCTCTTCGTCGTCGTCGGCGGCCTCGTCGCCACCTGAACCGTGCTGGCCCGGGACCACGTGGCCGCTACCAGGCGCGCCTGCTTCGGCCGTGGGGTCCGTGGTGGCGACGCCGTGCGTAGACGAGTCGAGGGGTTTATTCTCGAGGATCTCGAAGCACTTCTTGCCAATGCCAACGTAGCAGAGTTGGATCTCTGGGCGCAGCGAGATGATGTCGACGATCTGCAGGGCGAGCTCCCGGGGGTCGTAGTTGCCCGCTGCGTGGTCTGCTATTTTTGGAATGTGCAGGGAGCGCAACTGGGGCAGACCGATGAGGCGTTGGAGGAGCGTGTGCTATTTTTGTGTGAGCAAGCAGTTG